ACATTTTACCAACGATGGGTTCATCTCCATGTAGTAATGAAATCCCTCCCGAAGGGGTTTCAGGAGGGCTATTGGAGGGCTATTTCAATAGTTTGCCATCTGCTGGCATCCACCAACTTGTGGAATTTGCTGTCGCATTGATTATAACGGGCCACCGGCGAAAGTCAAAATACAGGCACATCTGAGTGTTGCGACGGTACGGTAAATGAGTGTAGGTATGTCAAACCTGTGAAACGCGATGCGGAACGTAAATCTTGAGCCCTTTTTTATATCGCCGTAACTATCTGATGTTCCAATAGGAATGGCCAGAATACACAGAAACAGAGGCCAAAGGAGGGCTACGCTGGCTCAGAACAGAAATTGCTACCCACCAATAAACACGATAAAACCCCAAGAATACAAAATTAGTGATATGCATTGCGCTGAGAATGGCCTGTGTAGTACGAGCTGCCGTTTCCGAAGTAAGGATGCATGCTGGCCTGTTTCGCAGAAAGCCGATGCGCGGGGTCGTACTCCAGCAGAGCCTCCAGCAGCTCCAAACCGTGTGGCCCCAGGCTGGACACGATGGGCGTACTGGGTCGCTTCCACTTGGGGAAGCTGACTTCGTATTCAGGGAACGAGGTAATTCCCGGCCAAACCTCTTCATCTGGGGTACCGAGTACGCTGCGAAGAGAAAGCGATCAGTGTATGGACATAATCTAGCAAAGACGATACACATACCGAAAGATCTTGAAAATCTCATCAATCTCCGAATACCCTGGAAATAACGGCCTGCGAGTGCACATCTCAGCAAAGATAGCGCCTACTGACCACATATCGACCCCAGTCGAGTACTGGAGATCTCCCAGTAGGATCTCAGGAGAACGGTACCATAGCGTAACCACCTGTGATGAAGCTGTTAGGACGTCGAGATGGTGTCGGTCGCCAGAGCTGGGACCTTACCTCGTGGGTGTAAGTGCGCAGTGGGCCACCGAATGCTCGTGCCAAGCCAAAGTCGGCCAGCTTCAGGTTACCCTGGCGGTCAACCAGCAAATTCTGGGGCTTCAAATCGCGGTGGAGGATCCGGTGACCGTGGCAATATCGGACACCCTCTACCAGGTGTGCCATAAGCTTTTTGATCGTTGCATCGTCCCGGTTCGGGTTTGCCGTCAACATGGACTCCATGTACCTCTTCAGGTCCATATCCACAAATTCGAGGACGAGGTAGAGCCTGTGGTCATCGATGTGGACGACGTCCAGGAGTTGGACAATATTGGGGTCATGCATTTCCTTGAGGAGGATCAGTTCGCGGAGGGTGGTGCTAGGAACACCCTCATCCTCACATCTCAGCTGGATCTTCTTCAGAGCAACGACTTGACTTGTACGACCAATCTTACGGGCTTTGTAGACGATACCGTAGGCGCCTAGGGCGTAAGTTGGAATGGTGTCAGTGTCACTAACCCTGTCAGAAACCCATACCTTCTCCGAGTTTTCCGATTTTCCGGTACTTCCCCATTGCAAAGGCGATGGTTGATTCCGTTCTGCTGTCAATCGCGTTCTGATGAGCGAGCAAGCGGGGCAGGAAAGACGAAAGACGAAAGTCAGATAACGTGGATGAATAGCAGGAGAAGAATGATAGGCACGGAAGACTATGAGGGTCAAAAGGCCAATGTGACTGTGACTGGCATGCAAATCGGACGTCGACACATAAGTCACCCATGAAGAGACCAATTTGATTATGATCTCGCCACCAACCAAAACTGGATTCGACTTGGTTGAACTCCGAACTAGCCCAGAAATAGCATCGTCTATAGGAGGGGGCCTCAGCGTTGACCACAGATTCACTCATCGTACCTGGAAGATATGATCCTCGTAGGCATATTGAATGAAGTATGGAAATTATTAGGAAACAATGAGGCGAACAATTGTTCCACCCGAGACTCTGCAAAGGGATTGCATGAGGTGTTCAAAGATCATATGGACTGTCTTCGCGTTGAGCCCCCACCAGGGATATAATTGAACCGCACGATCCACGGGTTTCCGGTACCGATGCACCTATGGGCTATCCGTCTCCTGTACAATGTTCTGTCGACGAAGCTCAGCGCCTGGGGCCTTCGTGTCTACAACTGGATGACCTGACCGCATCGAACATGAGTGCCAGATTTGCCGTGACTAGTCGCGCAAACAAATCAAGGTTTCCCTGGCTATTGCCTTTCGAGCCAGACTTTATTTTTTCCGATGATAGCTCTTCTACCGACAGGCTCTTTAGTCCCCCTATGATTATTCTCTCTCGAGCTAGCGACCCAGACTCTGCGGATTATAAAACGTCCTTGCAATACAGAACTGTAGGGGCTGCAGGTGAGCACGAATCAGGCAGAACCACCTAATAGCCTGCCGCAAATCTTCTTTTATCGGACTGCATCAGTCGAACGGTTCGCTCGGATTAGGAAATTCTGAGGCGGCCGGTTCCAATGGAACAGTCATATATAGCCCGAGTCGGTTAGATATACATATTGAAAATGTCCATACACCTTGAGAAAACTGGGGTCAAAGTAGCAAATGTACCGAGGCATGCCTCAAAAGTACAGCAGAACTCAAGGCCAATGTTCATCCGCTTCCTGGGTTTTTAGAATAGAAGCAGTCATGAGGCTATATCAAGGCATGGATGGTGTTAACTATTATGGCTGCTCCACAACGACATGCAAATTAGTCTGTCTTAGTGGGTGGTCCGGAGTGCTACCTGCATTTCTTCCTTTTTGGTTGGGAATGGGGGCGTTGCTCCTGGCCAATCTTCTAACATGCTACAGCTTATAAATATATTGAAAGCACGTTACTTTCCAACATAGCATGCGACGAACTTTTGGAGACTAGTACAACATCCAATCATGGCCCTTGCTGTTTACTGCAGGTGCGTAGACAAGCAAGCCCAAGAGCCATATACTGTGCCCAGGCAAATATCATGGTCAACGCTGCAGAGATACCCGTACTGCATGTTAAGCACGATGTATCAAAAATTCGAAGGCAGTGCGGAGACGCCCCAAAGTGAACAATAGTCAGAAAAAATAGTGCGTTTCGACGGACCCTCCATTGTGAGCTAGGGTTGTCTGTGGAAATCCATCGAATGCTCCAGCGGAGACTCCTGGAGCGTGTCTAGTTTTGGCGGAGTTGCATGCCGGGGCGATGTCACAGATCTGCACCTTCCGGTGCTGTAGAATTGGCGGAGGAAATCCTGGAATGATAATGCTTTCGGGAATGGAGACGACTGTGTTGAAGACGAGCTGGTTGGTGATTGACCTGGTGAATTCGACTCATGTCTTGAGGCGGGTCTAGTCGCTTGACCTTGAGCGACGAGGGTGAGCCTCGGACTCATGGTTGCAGCTTCAAGTTGGAGTCGGGAATCTGACTGGAAATTAGACGGGGTCACAGAACGATCGGTGACGGGGAGCGGTCTTATATGTATACTGGACTTGTGCTCAAAGGCTACCGCCGAGTGGTTGGTACGCCTTCCTCGAATGATGGACCTATAGCGCAATTCATGTGTCTTCGTTGGAAACGTGCCTGATCGCGTAATGTAAGAATCACTGGAGACACTATCTGTCGTTTCCTGCGAGACCTGTTTGGGATATATTACTTCCCCATCTCAGGGTTGGAGTATCAGCAGGCTATGTAGCTCAAATAGTAGCGTGACCAGCAGACAAGGGCATGTTGGATCATTCGGTCATTGATTATCGAATGATCGGGTAATCGAGGGCCAAGCAGTGCGTCAGCTGAGCGAGTCTTGCGGAAAAACTCCAATTTGGTTGTTGCACCGACCACTGGCGCAGGAGTTGGGTTATTCTATCCTTTTTTTTTTTTTTTTTTTTTTTTTTTTTGATATAGCTCCGTCAAGCTCCTTGAAATGTTAAGATATTGGCCCCGCAGCGCTTCGCTTTGGATCCCATGGAGTGTACAACGGAGATCGTACGAACTTCCTACGCAATGGCCAAATACTTCAGAGCAAATTCCTATCATCTGAATGAATCTCCTTCGAGCAAGAGCTTGTTCACTAGAAACCAGATGGTCAACTCGAGTGCCCATTTGCAACAAGCGAAGAGGCGTTGACAGGACGGCGAATACTGAATGATAGTGAGGGTATTCCACACGCAATTCAAATAATCATTAGTACAGCTCAAAGGCTTGGTCGCGATAAAGGTATTCTTTTTTCTTATTAGTGGATCTTGAAACGTAACTACCTGTGCTGGGAAAGCGCACTCGTGTCTCAGCATTAGCATAAGATGGTATGAAAGGCGTCGGAAAAACTGTTTAATTCCCTTGCTGCTGTGTCACCTTTGCTGATTCGTTCCACGCAGTGGATGCCATGCGTACTTACGGTGGATAAGTGGTGAACAATGTATCTAATGATTTGCTTAACTAGAGGCGAATGGATTCCAAGACATCTGCCAGCCTTGATTCCAGAGCTTTTGGAGCGCACTAACCATACGCAGTCATTCATTCCAGATGTGGCCGGAAGCAATTGTCACAATGTTCAAGGTTTAGACCAACCATCAAGTTCTCCAAACCACCGCGGCCGGTAGATCTCATCGCCAATAATCATCTTTCGCCTCCTGCTGTCAACAACCAGACTCGTGTGAAACCCACGAATCTTAATCCACAAGGACTGTACAGACTGTGCGTAGACAAAACTACCATCGGGGGCAATGTTAAAACTCTTGAGGTCCGACTGGGGCAGCTCCTCCCATTTCCCGTTACCAGCATACCCATGGCGATCACCGGTTGTGACTTCCAACCCTGGTAGATATTTATGGGTGACGTTCTCATAATGCTCTGTGAGTTGACCCGCTTCGGTATCGAACGCATGCAGACCGCGGTCTTCTGATACAAGGAATTTCCGTTGGCCTGGGAGAGGTACTAGATCATGCAATCCAGCCCACCAGGGATATCCCATACCTCATTCAGCTTCGATTAGATATGCCTTGAGTAGTTTATAGATGTAGCGATCGTCCTTCAAAAGTAGACCCGTTCTAAACTCCCAGGTATCCCACAATAGTCCCAAAAGCAGGGGCTTGATCGGTGCCGTCCGCTGCGGCATCCATGCCAGTAGCCCATAGCATTTGTCCTTGTTCATCCCAGACCAAGCGATGTATAGCACGTAGGCCGGTCATATTTTGAAGAATTAGAGGGTTTGCAAAAAGGGCGTTGGCGGCGCGGGCGTTATAGACAAGACTACCATCCCAGGCTCGCTGACCAGTGGTACCCACAGCAAGTAGATTACTCGGTAGGGGCTCAGGAGTGTGCGAATACCATAGAACGTCGTTTCTTTTGCAAAGTGCAAACGTAGTAAGCTTGTCGGTGGCTGGATTGTCGGGGGCCCGGGATGGTTGATAACGAGGGCAAGGTCACTACAGTATAGATGGCATCAACACTAGTTCCGTTATTCATATATTTGAGCTCGGTCGCATCGTTGGCGTGCGCATAGGGACATTTGTGAATATCGTCTGGCAGAGGTTGCGTAACATTGTCGCGTCGGAATCTCCAGTTCACGACTCCGTCGCGATCATGAATCTTCAAGACGGGTGGGTGGGTGGCCATACACGCCGGTGATGATCTGTTGCCACGGTCACTTCTCCGGCGGTAGATCTTTTGGTGGTTGGATGGGAGGAATATAGTCGGCAAGGGGCTCGAAGAGGAAGGGAAGCCATCCCAGGAATCCTGACTTAAAGCACTGCTTTAGAGAGTTAGATCCCTCGGATTTCAAGGTCCAAACAGAGTTGGCTTCAGGTAAATTCTGCCTTCCGTACACCATGTCGACAAAGCATCGGTACTCACGTAAATCAAGATACAGGACGTTCCTTTTCGGAAAGGTCACCTTGTGTTGCGCAATTGGGGTCGAAAGCAAGGCATTCTGATGTCAAACATGCCACCGCTTTTGACGTCTAAGCTCTACACCCAGGGCCGCTCCGCTATCAATCTAGCCATCTCTCTCCTCAAGGTCTGTCTCGGGTAGGTGAGCCATGTGCGAAAATACCTGACCATTGACCTCTGAATTGACGGCACCTCCTAAGTGGCGCAGTACAGTGGCAATCATTATTGCCTTCCCATGTCAGAGACATAGAGACGCTCTCTCAAACCATAATCACATGATACGCTATTCTTGATGTGATTGTTCCCGTTTTTAAAGAGTCGAGAGTCGTCCGAGGTTGGATTGTATAATACGAAACAGGTAAGAAGCCATCATGAGTTACCTACTCATGTATAGTTACGGCTCTAAAAATAAACTACGCCTGCCCCATCCAGTTCCCATGAACTTGGGACCAAACTGTAGGCAGCATCCGAAAGAATCCTACATTTATCAACCAAAACACATGTAATTAGCCTTGCTTTATCCTTCTCTTTGATGTGATTTTCAAGTGAACATGGGCCATCTGCCGCTGCGCTGATGGGTTGTATTCGATCTGAACATTTTGGCACTTTGTGGCATAAGTTGTTAAAACTTCATTCTCTAAATTGTCGTGGAGCGTTCCCCGAAGACTTTTGTTCCGACAGCTACTCTCGAGTCGTGTGTTGCTTTGAGGGCTCTCCTTTTGCTATGCAGTGACAGGCTTGTAAATAATATATGATAGATCATCAAACAATGATGCCAGGGAAGCTTAAGACCCCTATTGTGAATGAGGGCTCCCATTCTCCCAGGGTCCATTTCAGACCTCGCGGATTGGTAGCTCGCGGTCGAAATTTCAAGTTGGAAGATACGCGCGGAGTGTGGGCTTGAAATTGTTCAATAGATGTGCTGCTTCCCGGTCGGCGCTGATTTCTCGTTCTATTTCCTTGGCATCATTCATCTCAAAGCATAGAAAGAACCCGAAGTCGCAGAATGATAGGCAATGGTGGAGATAACGAAAGACACCTTACTGTCGAGCCTTGCCTATCAACTTAAGCTTAGATGGTACCCAGGAAAACGCCAGGCTCTTTACAACGAAACAAATGCGAGGTGCAGATGAGAGTTCTTGTGCCAACGGTAGCCTTGAACCTTCCAGCCCTCCAGGCTTCTACAGTGGCGTTTCCTTAATCTAAGTCACACCTTTCGCCGTCTAATTGAAGCCACCCAACACGCTACCATGTCGGTGATTTTGACGAATTTTGGCCTATTCGCGACCGTTCACGCGGTGCCTATATGCCTGGGGTACAGAGTGGTGTTCACGCTCGACGCTATCTTCTCCTCTCACCAATATAGGTTTGGGCTGGGCCTTTCTCATAACCGTCCCATGTTTGGAAGACACCTCATCGAGCTCTCAAACACAGAGAGCCATCTTGTCTTGGCTGCGTCATCCCAATGCAAATATTCAGAATGGGTTTCTTCGCAGCGTGTGACTATCACAGTACGTGAATAGAGGGGGTCTACGCTTCTAAAATCTCACCGTCTCTGGCACATTGGAATTGACTCAACTTTGGCGGGCTGGTGAGGATATCCAGAAATGCCTCCCCTGTCTGTGACATCCGTACAACGCAACTAACTAGCGGCAATCGAGAACTGTATTAGGCCAAAAGTAGAAGTATCTCCTCGGATACCATCTTTGGACGGTCCGTGTGGTTGTCAGGCAAACGCCGATGCGTGCACAGCGCTCACTCCTTACAACCATCATGTCTACGGGGACTTACAAACTCGAGGGCAACGTTTAGGCACTTCCAATACCTTTCCTTCCCTACACACTCCTGGCATAGAATGTCTATCTTGATGGCATTCCCCGACAATGGGGTTCCGTATGTTGTGGTTACAAGTCCTGATCCTGAACGCCTGGTTTTGGAGATTGTTTGCCCTCGGCCCAGGCCATGTATCGCGTGCGCAATCAAAGAAAGGGAGCCTACAGAGTCTTCACGTCTCTTTGGAGATTGCCGAAGAAGATGGGCCGCACGTAGAATAGCAAGAGGCTCCTGGCTCTCTCGCTTTGGGCCATGGGTGCGACACTTGTACTAGATGACGAAAACCCACAGAGCGACCGGATAGAGATTACGGTGCATTGGGTGATACGTACAGTACTTGATCTGTGCCCGTGTCTGAAAGACATAAACAAGATCCTGAGCCAAATCCTTAGACTAGCCAGCAATTTGAAGACTCATGACATGCGCTGCAGTTTACCTAAATCCTGGTTTGCGATGCGAGGCCAGTTGTGTACATCTACACTTCCACCTCCCTATTGCACAGAACAACTTTGACTAGTGTTTAAATTTATCAAATAGGATTTATCTCCAGTATCACTCTTCAAAGCCGCTGCTTAATCAAATCTTGGTTTTCCGACGTGGGCAAGTTTACAAATTCAGCCAACTGGCCAGTTCTGTACATTCACATCTCCATCTCCCTACTGCAAAACAACCTTGAATAGTGTTTGACTCTATATGAAAAGGATCTCTTCTCAGTATCACACTTCAAAGCCGCAATTTATTAAAATCCTGGTTTCGGAGGCGGGGTTTGCAAGCCCAACCAACTGGCCAGTTTCGTACACTCACGCGCTCATCTCCCAATTTCACGAAATGGCTAAAAGTGCAGGTAAACATTTTTTTTTTTTTTTTTCAAGCAAAAATTACCTTCTGTTCTTGTTCTATAGATATCTACGCTTTCTGCAGGATTCTTTGAAGTAAAAATGCTTCTCACTCCGTGCAGCCCCGGGGCTGGCATAATGTGAGCCAAGGCACTCTCAATACATCTCCCTGAACTTCAAGTCTATCGACTTTACCTCCTGCCTTGTACGTTATTGTACCATGCAGACTCTAGTACTTATAGAATTCGTACCGATGAAGCAGTCCCAATTGTGTGAAACTTTGCCGATTGCGCACTAACTTAGGCTTTATTAATGTAACTCAAAGGTAGAGCAAGTCTGGGGGGCAGTGAAAATAGACAAATCCACTCTAATTGCCATAGCGAATGAGCTCCATGTCTGTCAAGCTCTTGGACGGTAAACGAACCGAAGAGTACTGTACATACAGATGAGATAAAAAAACTTGCAAGTGTCCATATGTATCTAGACAGCCTGTCGCTGATTTGGAACTCCCTTTGAGCTAGCCACTTCAAATGTGGCGGGTGAACGCGTATAATCACTTGGGTATAAGGTGTATTGTGGACCGTATTGCGGTGCGAAATCCTATCCCGCAGGGCCACAAGGCCGTCACGCCCCGACAAATGCGATATATTGTCCTCGTGAAAAGTATCGACTCGTCCCCAGATCGGCCGCGGTGGAAAATGAAAAGGGGAGAACCCAGTAATATAAAGCTCCACCCACGCCATCCAGAATACACCTAACTGCTCCCTTATATACTCAACGATATCTGTTATCCCCGTCGAGACACCCATGACATTTGGCCCTCTCATTTGAATACCGGAGATGTTGGGGAAGTGGCCACTAGAATAAAATGCTTTACTGAGCGTAAGCGGTATGGGATTATTCAATGGGTCCGACCACGTACACTAGGAAGGGGCTCTCTCTCGGCTCCTTCCCCACAGCTCTGAACCTGTTTCGGGATATACGACGGTATCTCTCCAACAGATTCCCCATGAGTTGGTTACGTTCTGACTATTTTTGTTTCGACTGGCTCATTTTTGATTATCGACCGCTGAGTGGGGCCTGGCGAGGACGCAGGATCGACTTGTGACCGGCTGGTGAAGATGTCATTTCGTTTCTCCAGCATGCCTCGGAATTCTCACTTGAGAAATCGAGAGCAGTGGAAATGGGCTCGTGGCTATTTGGATTGTTTGGACGGCGTCTGGGGCTTGCCCGTTTCTCGTCCTTCAATGAGGACCTTTACGCACAAGTATATACAGACATACCCAAGGAGCCATAATAGCAGGAAATTTTTCGAGCTTCATGGGGAATCATCACATGTTTAGATAAGTTACACCTTTCCAAGCCGCTGACAGTAATCTCCCGAAATACTTTGATAATGTTGATTGAGATCGCGGAAGATACCTATGGCACATGTTCAATGAAGCCCCCCAGATAACGTACGATTTGTCAACCCCTGCGAGCGCTCGCCTAGCCCTAATATGTACTCTGATCACCGGTGACCCCCCGTGTGCCACCTGGCCGCGTGGTCCACCATCACAACATGCTCACACAATACTCTGGGGTCCTAGCCCAAATCCGATCGAACAAAACTCAGCTCCTAGCGCCGTGTGAGAAAAAGGTCCACTTCGTTTCGGGCCACATTCGGGTCACATGGCAACCTCGTCATTTGGATGCATGTTAGGCCCACATTAGACGAGCTGAGAAGGAAGTCAGCAGATAACATCATGCACTTGTACTGAGAATCATGAGGGCTTTGAAGGTCAAATTCCATTGAGCCTGCCACACCTGCGCAATCGACACGTCGGCCACCGTTATGCAAATGTTACACAAGGTGCTTCCGATCTAGATGCCCGATCTTTCGCCAAAATTGACTCATAATGATGGGGCCTCACCACGAGTATGTTACCGATGACAGATAAAATCGCAAGCCCACATCTGTCTGAGATATGTGAAAAGCGTATCATTCTTCTATCCATTTACTGTCATCGAGCTCATTTCATAATGAGGGCTTACGGGCACCCTATTGTCTTGAGCCCTCTATGCACACCAACCGAATGGCTCACCGCCAGAGGTCACGGCAACACGAGCCCCGACAGTTCTTCTGAAGGACGGTAAACTACAATGGGTATCTGGTTGACCTTTGGGTTAAAAAGACTTCTTTAGCCTCACCTCATAGAACGTCTAGGCGACCCAAATAATTAGCCCCCTAACGTAGAGGACCGACGGGCGCATTGTCGTCCCTTCTTTCTCG